CAGCTTGTCTCTTTGAATGTGTTACCTGATGTCTTTAAAGTGGCAAAACACAGAAAAGTGCGTCCTCCTGGTCCTTTGTTCTCCGGACCAGCAAGAGTCAGGAGTATGGTAGAGATGGGGTAGGTAGGCCCTTGGGCCATATTTATTCTAGCTTTGCTTTTTAATTTCTCCTTGCTTCAGCTCAACTAGCAGAATAAGGCTCAAATCTGGTCTACACTATCCAGTAGTAAGTATGGCTATCCTTTATCGATAGGGAAGCCCCAGGGCTACTGAGCACTGGTGTGTTTGGTATTAGATCATCCATGGCAACTCTCATTCTCCAGCTCAGTCTGTCTGCCCACACGCTTTATTTGGTGCTCACCATTTTTAGTATGGGTGGTCTCCTCTAGGAATTAACAAAGACGTAACAACAGTCTTTCGGCTCAAAATGCTAGCATCAGTGCTTGAGAACCATTGCAATGTGTCTGGCAAGATGTATGCGCGTAACAGAGAAGGATATTTATTCTGGGAGAGCTAGATCAAACAGGTAAGCTTTAATGAAAGTTTGAAAAGCTTTTGGTTCAGGAGAGATCCTTAACCTTTTCTAAAAGCATGCTAAGCAATCTTGGTTCTGTGGTTCTGTATGTGAAGGTCCCTCTTCTCCTTCACCATTTAGGGTGGCACTACATAGTTAAGAGATCAAAAACGTTGTGATGTGATGAGATGGGTGAGATCTTAGGTAGCTAGGACCATGGTTTAAATGGAGCCTCTACCAATGCATTGTCTGTCAGGGGAATATGCTCATAGCAATTTCTGTTGCTGTTGAATTTTGAAACTTCTGGATTGTAAGTTTCTTTCCTTCCTAAATGAGTTGCAGTCATCACATAGAACCAGCAGTGCATCCATTTTGGAGCTCAGTCCTGTGTCTGAAGCATGGCCTTATCATCTGTAGATAGAGAACTAGGTGTTTTGTGGCATTGGTATTTGACCATCCAGTAGCACTGAAGAGTTCATGAGATACCCATGGTTTCCTTGGCAATAAGGTGATGAGATATGCTTAGTAGAATGGGAATTTTTAGAGGTGGTGAGAATTTCAAAGCTCTTTCCTTTTTTATGAGCGTTAACTCATTTATTACTGAGGTTCGTGTTTAAACAGACAATTAAGGAATGCTTTTAATAGGCTGAGAAAAGTTAAAGAAAGTCAGTGTAATTCTTTAATCCTGGCATTTGTAACAATCCATAGCGTTTTGTACTCATTATGCTTTTTAGGGGTGAATAATTTAGATTCTTTCACCTGCTGATTAGAAACTCCCTTCTGTGTTCCTTCCTCTGAATTCAGCTTTCTAAATAAGAAAATAAACTAATTTCGTAGGAAATTTTATAACCTGTACCTCAGTCTGAGTAAAATTATTACATATACATAAACTCCCAAGCCTAAAACCAAATCCAATTATGCTGGGCATAGATGGCACTTAAACACCACTGTTTATTATCATTTAGTTTATTGGAAGCCAACTGACAACATGTATACAGAAAAAATACTTTAAAATCACACAGGACAACACTGAAGAGCCATCATTAAGCAGCTTAAAATCTCGCCTCCACATTTGCGGTGCATTTGGCATGAAATCATGATCCTTAGATGTTCAGAGGGAAAGGAGCTCTGTGGTACCTTTCTCCCACACGTACCTGTGTATTTAAGGCTGTAATGACACTAGCCTGCAAGAGATTTGGAAAGCAGGGAAAGCTGTGACCTGTACCTTTAATTCATCTCAGCTAGTTCCGCGCTGATGAAGTGATCTATCATCATTGCTCCCATACTAGAGCAGATATTCCTCCAAGAAAGTTTAGCCACGGCATGGGTGACTGGACTAGCATCGCCCGGCATCCAGCAGTGTACAGACTAAACTATAGTTTTTAGTCAGAGAATATGGAAACTGACAACAAATTATTACTTGTGGTCTTTTTCCAGTTTTCAAGTGCAAACATACCAAAGTTTATTTTAAATCTGAGCCAGTCAGACATTTAGTAATATAGATCAAAGAAGAAGCGAAGGCCTCCCATGCTTATTATTTCAATATGATGTCTGTTCTAATAAAGTGTAAGAATGCCTGTGATAGACTAACTAGTAGGAATTTTCTGGTTCTGTAGTTTAGCCTTAAATATATACATATATTTGTAAATTAATCAGAAACATATTGTCGTGGTTTCAGTTCCTCGGAAAGCTGATTGTTTTCAATCCTTTCTTTAATCTTAGAAATATGGTGGCAGTCTGCCAGCACACTTTCAGATAAACAGTCCACTTCACATTTAAAAGCCATAGAATCACTGATGTTGAAGGGGGGGAAAAAAAATCAACAGAAAACAACACCAGTTCTCTCTCTCTCTCTCCCCCAAAATGTAGAACGTTATTTAAGTAAGTCAGACTTGTTGTGCTATTGTCCCTCGCTCTTAATTAGAAATAATAAAAGCCATCTGTGCAAGGTGAATTTTGATAAGATCTCGGCTTTTAAGTGTTTGTTGATCTTGTGTGTACCAATTTTCAAATGTCTTAATAGCTCCAGGATGGCTATCACACTGAGTAGGCTCACTGATTTCCATCACGCTCTGTGCTGTTGAATCCAATTCGCTTTATGTGTGGTTATATTTCGAGTGAAATTTTAAAAACACACTATTCCTTGCAGTACAATAAGTATTTAACTGGATGGAACTGTTTCCATTTGGAGGAGGGTTTTTTGTCGGGTATTTTTTTTTCATAACACCAGCTCCTCACACTTTGGGATTAAACATAATTAAAGTGAGGAGTTGTTTTACACGAATTGTGTACTGGACAGCATTTCTGTGGTTGCTTTCCAACGACAGGATTTTCTACAGTCTCGTTTTACCCATTTTTGGGGGGGGGGGGGCGCGTTACGGGTAAACAAACA